CTTTTTGTCTTTTTTCATGACCGGTAACGGGATCGCAACCCTCGGTGTCGCACCCGTACCGTGACCGGCAACAGGATCGCAACCCTTGGTGTCGCGCCCGCACCGTGCTCAGCCAGTGAGCGGACCAGTCTCTATATAGGATCCGAACCCTCAGCGGGAGCGCCGCCCTCTACCAAGTGCGCCACCGGGCCGGCCCCAATCCTGCCAGCTTTAGATTGAGTGTTACTGTGGAGAATCACCCGGATGAGCTAAGGGTTCTCAGCACCTGGTGGGATACTCATAGCTCTGCAGAGAACCGTCCTCCCAGCAGGATATATTTCAAAGCTGAGTAGATTTCCATCCAAACAACAAAATTTTAAGTAACCCTGATCAAACTTTATACTCTTTACTGTAGCCCAGGGAAAAAACAAACAAAAAAGACCTGAGAAATTAAAAAGATAATACTTTAAGGTTTAAAAAAAATGATATGGAGAAGAAATCAGGTAAGGATCCAGTAAGACAAACATCTTCCAGTACTGGGGAAGGTGACCTCAGATGTGAAAAGCAAAAGATGTTCTCGTCTGTATGACAAGTAGGTGATGGAGGATTATTAATCACCTGAGGAACTGATTAGCTTGCACATCTTGTTACCACAGACAATGAGTAAATGATTTCCTACAAAGACCAACTCACCTGTCCTTAGCAATAGCAAACAGATCATCTTCATCATCCTCCTCAAAGAGACTGGTCTTTTTCACAGCCTTGGCTTCCTGGCCCTGTACAGTCCCAGAGTTCCTGAGTTCTGCTTTAGACCTGCTGTCAGATGCTGAGTTGGTCTGCGAAGCCGTAATATTCCACTGGTCCTTAAAGCATAAAACATGTATTAAAAATCCAGTGGCAATTTAGATTATGGAACATGAGGAGTACAATAAAATTTACATTTGTTAAACTATTATATTTACACTAAGTATTATACTGTGTCACTCTTGAAGAAAGCTCATGTTGAAGGCTTTTCTTTAAACTCAAACCTAGATAGCTGGGTTCTCTGACCTCACTGACCTTATACCTTCCTTCTCCACCACTGCCACCGTATTTCTCCCCTCTGTAGTTCTGTCCTGTGTTAGGATGAGGGAACTTGTCTAGGAGGATAATATTTTAATTTAAAAATCCTAAAGCAGACTGCAAAAAAAATGAATAAAAAGCTCATGCAATACACATGTACAAAAGACACAACGAAAGCCACTAGTGATCCTTTTACCATGGAAGTCTGAATCCAGCCTTTAGGAAGCACGAAAGGAAATAGCCAGGCTATGCTTGCTCCTTCTAATCAAGGAACTCCTGAGCACTTGCTCAAGTGGAGCTTTGCTCTCTGGAGTCTAGAGCTTTGCAAATCACAGCGGGGTCCACGAGCCAGCAGCAGAATCTCAGGCCACCCCAGACTTTCTGAATCAGAACCTACCTTTCACAGGGTCCTCAGGTGATTTCTTCACACATTAAGGTTTGAGACATGCTCCTCTAGAGCAGTGATGCTCAGCAGTGACTATACACTAGAATCCACTAAAGAGCTTTAAAAAATTCTAGTGCTGAGGCCATACCCCAAATCAATTAATACTGAATCGCCAGCAGTGGGATCCACTATTAGTGCACTTTAAAGTTCTCCAGGCGATCCCAACGGCAGCCAAGGTTGAGAGTCTCTATACTATTTTTTTTTTGGGGGGGGGGGGGCGAGGGGCGGCTGGCTGGTAAGGGGATCAGAATCGTTGACCTTGATGAGCTAACCAGCTAGCCCCAAGAGTCTCTATTCTAGAACTCTGTGTGTCCTTTTCCTCCCAGCTTTAACTAATGTTTATTTTCCCTGCACTCCATAATACTCTGATATGAACAATTCCACTGATGACTGGCTTTGACTACAGGGCAAGCATCCACTAACAATGCTAAAAATAAAAATATGGATAGTCTATCATAAACACACATTTAAGCAGAAAAGGCATTTATGTTGTGTCATTTTAAGTTGCTTTCACAATAAAAATATGAACATGTCTATGATTTACCTATCCACCTCATATCCTCAAAACTTGCCTACGATGTTAAAATAAAGAGCAAATATAAGTTTTTTTTTTTTTTTTTTTTTGTCTTTTTCCATGACCGGCAACGGATTGCAACCCTCAGTGTCGCGCCCATACCGGACCGGGACCAGCAACGGGATCGCAACCCTCAGTGTTGCGCCCGCCCCTCGCTCAGCCAGTGAGCGGCTGGTCTGTATGTGGGATCCGAACCCTCGGCGGGAGCGTCGCCATGCTCCCAAGCGGCGCACTGTAGCAGTGCGCCACCGGGCCAGCCCAAATATAAGTATTTTTAATGGTCAGGATTTTTAACATCATTACATTCAAAGTCTTAATCTGCACAGCTTAATCTGAACAGTGGCTAAACCATATTCACTACTGATTCTGCTAATATATATCCAGATCACAAATAGAAATATTGTTAAGTCTCCTACAAAAAAGGAGTTAAATTTGAAAAGGGATACTCCCTACCATGTCTGGCTATAGTTCTAGATTAGTGAAAAACAGTAGTCATTTAACAAAATAATATATGGCTGATAGGGTACAGGACACGCCATCCCAAAATATGGCACCCTGGCATCTGAGAAAACAGAAGCAGAAAGGTCTCTCGGGGCCGACCCAGTGGCGCACTCGGTAGAGTGCGGCGCTTGGGAGCGCAGCGCCACTCCCACCGAGGGTTGGGATCCCATATAGAGACTGGTCCGCTCACTGGTTGAGCGCAGTGCGGGCGCGACACCGAGGGTTGTGATCCCGTTACCGGTCACGAGAAAAGACAAAAAGGAGAAAAAAAAAAAAAAAGAAAGGTCTCTCGATCTTCTTGTCTGGAATAGATCATAAGACCGTCATTCCAGAGGTGCCCTCTCTGTACCCAGAAAAATGTTATCTCTAAATACATAAGAACAAACAGGCCTTGCTAAGTTACCCCAGTTTATCACCATCAGATCACATACCTTTTGTCCAATCACGCTTCTCCACAACTATCCACTTCTTCATTAGACTCAGCATAAGATCTACACAGGTTTCCCAGTTTCTCTGTGTCTTCATTTCTGCCTTATCTTACAAAATATTAACTTACCTTAAATAAACTTGTATGCTTTTCTCTCCAACAAGCGGAGAAATCTTTTCTCTCCAACAAGGCCTAAATCATTTGGATTACCATATACTACAATTTGGGGGCCACACTATTCCTAACCACTTTGAAAAGATTAACCTTTAATAATATTACACTAAATATCTTCAAGAAAAGCCAATCGTAAACATTGTCTTTCGTGACTGAACTTCACTAGATGTAAGATAGGTAGAAAACGAAAATGTTTAGGATAGCTGTACTCCCAAATCCCATCAAGTAATCTCCTCTTCTTTAGAAGAGACCTCAACGCACCTCCTCATCACTGCTGAACAATGAGGCAGATGTTTTCTTTTTGGAGAACTCAGAGGGTTTTGCTTTCTCTTGCTTCTGAGTTTGTAGAGATGATGTCTGCTTCTTAGCAGCTGTAGCCCCAAAAAGATTATCCTAGAAAAACAGATGGCAGAAAGGTATGACAACTTTATATGTTCAAAACAGAAAATGTAAGAGGTTCTCCCATATCCCACTGTTAGGGCGTTGTCTCCAGTCAGGTACAGAATAGAACACCTTTGGACAAAAAAATCACAAAATGCTAGTAAATCCCACTCTACAGCCTTTTCTAACATCACTCTCTAAGCACAGAAGGGAAACAGATCACCACAGAACTTGAAGGCAGAGCAGCTGGGAGGAGCAGGAGGGAGGACAATGTGACAATAAGGTCGCGCAAGTCCAAGGAGGAACTGTGCCCGCTGCAGTCCTCCTGTGGTGCCCCTCTGCTCACTGGGGGATTGGGGACACTGCTGCCTGCGGTGGGCATGAAAGCCTCTGCCACAGCCAGAACTTACACCTCTTCCTGCGAAATACAAACCAGAGCAAAGGAGAGGACGAGGGGGCTTCCCCCACTCTTTTACTGCTAAGAAAGACACATGACTGGGACGGTTAGTTTTAAAGAGACAATACAAAGGTAATAGTTTACTACATAAAATCACTGGTGGACTAAGAGCTGATTCTTAATGGTTCAATGGCAGATGCCCATTCTTGACTAGTCAAGCACTCCAAAAGAATCTATTAAGGGACTTTTTTAAGGTAACGGGAATAAGACCATCAGAGGGCCTGAGCCTCAGTTAGGATGGAAAAAGACTCTTAACCATACACTACAGCAGGCAAACAGTCCCGAAATGTAAGTGTGCTGAAAGGAGCCTTCAAGGAGAGTGTGCTAAGCAGGAAAGGCCAGGAAAATGATGAGCGGGTGCCCAATGGAGATGCTAATGACAAGAGCCAACATTACTGTGTGCCAGGCACTGTGCCAAGGGCTTTAAGTTGGTTGTAGCTGTCACAACAACCCTATTCACTGCTAAGCCACATGCGATTATGAAAGGATACTATTTACCCAAGGTCTCTTGTTTGTAAGAGAAGTGGAGAAGGGATATAAACCAGCGGTCTGGTGCCAACGCCTATGAGCTCAGCCACCACGCACTACTATACTGCATAAGCATAAAGGTTTGGTTTATCTTCCCTCTTATTTCTGTCCCCCACTTTGATGTCTCCATGCGGGGTGGGAAACAAAGCCAAGGTCAGGACATGGCCACCTTCCATAAGAACTGGGTCAAGAGTCAAATGTCCTCCCCACTGTACACCTAGGAAAACTTAAGAAAGGAGTCACTGAAATAAAAACAGAAATAGTTTTGTATATAAGCCTCAGGTGGTCTGACTACTTCCCTACCACCTCTTTCTACGTCTGAGCCTCTGGCTATAAAGCTACATCAACAACAGTTTTCTACTAATCTAAAAGCTGCTCATCTAGTGTTGCAATAACAATGTTTACCTCTTCGTCTTCATCATCAAAAAGGCAGGCCGATGTGGAGAGTCTGCGAGGCAGGAGAGGTGCTCCTTTTGACTTACTCATATTTTGGGAAGAAAACAAATCCTGTTGGATGGAGATTACAACTTCTGGTTAACACGATATATCAGTTTTTAAGATATCAGGTCAATATAAAACACTAACAACTACGACAGGATGGCTGAAGGAGGCTCAGAGTACTTAAAGGGACAGGCCAGAGTCTGTCCTGGGTGTGTGTGGCACAATCTCTTGATGTTTAAGGAAGAGGACAGCCACAGGAACGACAAGTGACCTCGCTGGAGACCACAGGCTTCTATACTCCCACCTGAATGACAAAGGCAGGAGAATGTTTTCCAATCAATGTCCTACCATGCTAAAAAAAAAATAAATAAATAAGGATGATTTCCTTCTTCTGTTTAAAGAATCAGAGAGAATAAACAGATTCAAAAATGGAAACAGAGGTTAGATTCCCAAATTGCTGAGTCTACAACTGTTTTATTTAATAAAACCCCTCTCTCCTAAGAGTATGATATTAAATTTTTATTTAAAAAGTGTCCCAGTCTACTTGAGTCATAGCTATGAGTTGTTGCAAACCAGGAAAAGATCTGCTAGTTCTGAAGAAATTTTCAAAATGTGATAACATGCCAGTCTATACTACAAAGATTTTCAAATCAAACTACATGAAGGAGAAACATAAAATAGGACAACTATCCCCTTGGGAAGAAAAACTTCAACATACAAGAGCTAAACAATTAAATAGGACAAGAACATATTTTCTAACACCTCTTCAGATAACTTTTAAAATCACAGAGTCGAAGTCTACTCAAACACAGACCTAATGAGCTCATTAACAGAGAGGAGCTCTTCTCAGCACAGCGGTTTCCGCCCATGCTCCATGGGGATCTGTTTAGGTAGAACAGGCCACATGGGGAGCTCAAGGCTTCTGGTGCCCCTCCTGCATTTCACACATTAGCAAAAGAAAGGGCTCTAGTTGCTTTCAGAAAACAAAAGTAAGCCAAACCAAAGAACAAAGACAAATTTCAACACCACAGTCCAGAACCCTTAACTAAATACATTTCTTGGTACTGGAAAAGAAGACATTTCTATTACCTCAAGCATGTCCCCCCAAATTACTTATTCCTTCTGGTTCAAAGCTCTACCTCCTAGACTGCCCTGTTTCACGTCATGTGGAAGAATCCCGACAACATTCAATGAAAACCTTCACCCTGTGATGATGCATGTGGGGCAAAGCCTTTGGTGGTATTTTGAATCACGTCTGCACATTCATCTACGCTCCCACCATCAAGAAGTACAGTCTATGGGCCCCTCCCCTCAAGCCAGGGCGGGCCTTTGAGACAAATGCAGCAGAAGGAAAACCTCCGACTCCCAGGGCTGGGTTTTAAAAGGCGATACAGCCTGCCCAGCTCTCTCTTGGGATTCTCACTTGGAGCCTGGGCCACCACATAAGAGGCTCAGCTTCCCTGAAGCTGCCATGCTGGGAGACCACACAGAGACACAGATGGACACCCAGGAGTCCCAGATGGGTGAAAGGCACTAGATGTGTGAGTGTGATGATTCTTAGCCCAGCCACCTTCAGACATGAGAGATCTCAGTGACAACCACATGGCTGAGCCCAGGCAACCTCTGGAACCATATGAGACAACAAAACTACCAGTGTTCTAATCCGCTACATTTTGGAGTGATTTGTTTCATGGCAACAAATAACCAGAACACCTCCTAAGTCATAGAAATTGCTCACATTTGGTTTATCCATGTCATCGACAATTATTGGATAGCTTAGTACATGCCAAGCACTGTATTAGGGACAAGGTGTTAGGGACATGAGCAGGGAACAAACCATCCCTGCCCTCATGGAGTTTATTCTAGACAATGAATAGTAAATACGTACTGCCACCTGGTGACACGTGCTGTGGTGAACAATAAAACAGAAAAGAGAAACAGGAGAGCAGTGTGGTGTGTGCCGGCAGACAGACTATTAGTTGTAGGTTGTCAGGGGAGGCCTCACAGACAACTGGAAGACTGAGGAAGAAACCAACCAGATTCTGGGAAAAGTGTTCCATGGAGGGGCAAGAGCCAGCACAAAGACCCCGAAGTGTCATACACTTGCCAATGAGGCCAGGCGGGTACAGAAGGTGACGAGTAGGCAGCATTAGGATAAGACAGGGTGTGGGCCCCGTCACGCTGTATCTCAGGGGTCAGGGGTTTGACTTAACTGGACTCTGGTTAATTGCTATCTTCTATTCCTATCCTCAATGAAATAAATGTAAGCCTCAAAGGTACTACTTATAGCAAGGGCAGTCACTCTACTTCCAAAGAGTCACATTCTCTCATCCTGGCTCTGAGTGCAAAGTCCAGCCCTGAGAGCTTCACCTGGAGCCCATGTTTCCTTGAAATTACACATAAACTTCTACCATGACCACATTTGTTTCTGTGAAGGGGATTTACTACTTCCCATTATGTTCTCACATAGATCTCCGGATCCCCTAAACAGCTAGCCTAAAATTTGGTCTAAAAAGACCTAAGTGTGAGTCAGAAAAAGCAGGGAAGCCCCTGAGGGCCGGCTCTGATGAGCCTGGAAGGACGAGGCAGCCTGGGAACCAGGGCTGCCCATAACTGGGGACCGGTCACAACAGATGAAAGACTGTGCCAGAGTACACGTCACGATGGCATTAAGCCCACGATTTAGTTAGTGAGACTGTCAGTAAAGGAAGCGGCACACTCATTTACACTGTTCTGGTATAAGCGCCTCATTGTGTTATGGACCAATAAAAAGACTGAATTTTGAGCATCTGAAAGAGAGAGTGTTTTCTTCCCAGGAAATGCAACAGGGCCAGACCCCAAGGTGAAAAGTCTTGTACACGTATTGCTTTCTAAAGACCATATGTTCTCCAGAAATTATTTTCAAAGAAATAACTGAAGTACTTAATAAAAAGTCTTATACCTCTAATGAGAAAAACCCAATTCAGAAATTGCTTCTAGGGGCTGGCTGGTTGGCTCAGTTGGTTAAAGCTCAGCCTTACAACACCAAGGTCACGGTTTTGGATCCCTTTACCAGTCAGCCACCAAAAAAGAGAAAAAAAGAAAGCGCTTCCAGTGTCATATCTGTAGACTAATTCCTAGAACAAAGTAAAAGAATTCCGTACCTCAGAGTCCTCCTCATCCGAAAATAAGCCTTTTCGAGTCTTTGTTTCTGACAAGGGCTTGAGATTTTTGCTGGAAGGTAGAGTAATCTTTGTTGGGGGGGAGAAAAGAAAAATTGAGGATTAACAAATAAGATACCTGGAAATGAGGGTATATTCAATCATTCATTCAGAAAGTGTACTGAGTCTCTGCTACGATGAGGCACCAAGCCATGCACCTGGGCAATAAAGATGCCGTGGACTTGGGCATGTATAAAGTTCACACAAAGAATAAATCCAAACAGAGAGGTACCATGAGAAAGAATTTAAAAGCTGGCATGAGTTAAGGAAGAGGAAAGCAGCAGTCCCATGAGAAAGTAAATGCAGCTCGGGCATACCGGAGAGCGGGACAGACAGCCTATGTCACACAGTGCACAGAGGGGACATGTGCAATCACAGACCACAGGCTGCCCCAAGAGCCTGAATGCAGGGACTGAGATGCTCAGCAGGGGAAAGTCAGGGTTTCACAGCAAGGACATGACATGATGAGACATGCTTTAGAAAGAGGAGGGTTCAAGCTGTGCAGGAGAGCAGAGGAAGGGACAACAGCCAGAGGAGCTTAAAGACCAACAGGGACACAGCCCACTGGCCAAATACAGGTCAATTTGAGCATCAAAATAAAAATAAAGGTGGTAATGGATTGTAATACATTGAATAAAGAATCCATGATCCCACAGCAATACTAAATAGAAGGGAAGGAAGAGGAGAGAAAGTTCTTCTGTTTAGTAAAATACTGGCTGATAAATGCAGAGAAAATACAGAATTATAAAAATATCCTTCTGTACCTCCCAACAGAAGAACTGGTTCAGGAAAAGATCATTTATGGTTGTTAAAACCAGAGCAAAAGACTGGTAGAGAACAGGATATTCACATAAACTATCACCTTAGAGATCAACTTAATAATGACAGAAGAGAACGGGGCATTTTTCCAGCAAGCAGTGTGGTGGTTGCCATTTTAACCAAGTGACCAAACCCCATCACCACCAGGAGACAGTGGGCCTGATGTGTCTCAAGAGGTGACACGACAGGACGTGCACACCTTGCCTGCCTGTACCCTTGCCAACAGTGCTTAATTTGAACCTAATCCTAGGAAGACAAACAGGCAAACTCACAAAGTGACACCTACAAGACAACTGCCTGGCTGTGCAGATAAAAAACAAACAGATGTTGGGGGCATTGTTTTAGATTAAAAGGAAACCAAAGAGACAGGACAACCAAATGCAATGCAGAAACACTGCCTGGATCCTGGATTTCTATTTTTAAAAAATGCTATAAATGACATTTTGGGGACAAGAGAGGAAATTAGAATATGGACTGTATATGCAATAATCTTAATTCAGTATTATATACCTTGGGTGTGATTTTACAAAGACATTTTGTGGCAAACAAGTAATTTGAATATGGTTCTATAATAGGAATACTGTTAATCTCACAGCTGTTGAAAATGGCATTTTGGTTATATGGGAGTCTTTTCAGAAATGCTTAATGAAGTATTTTAGGGGCAAAATGTCAGGATGACTACAATGTACTTGCAAATAGTTAAGGAAAAAACTATATATACAGAAAGGTTCACATACATAACTGCTGAATCTGAGTGTTAGTTATTTGGGTGTTCATTGGACTCTTCTTTCAACTTTATGCTTGAAGTTCTTCAATATGAACATGAAAGAGAACAATGCTGCCCTCTGGGTTCCAGACCAGCTAATAATTATGCCCAAGATCAACACTCTTCTGTTCATCCTTCCCTCCTGCTCACCGTTTTTTCTGCCCTTGCTTTATTTTCATCTGTCTGATTCACAGTAGCTTCCGGCGAAGCTGCTTTTTCTTTGAACAGATCTTCTTCCTCATCGTCAAAGATCGTGGCAGTGGATTTCACTTTGTCTTTAAAAAGACACCACAGCATAAAATTACACTAAGATCAAAGACCCCACCACAAAATTCACAGATTAAAATTTCTTCCCTCCCAAAAAAACAAATAGAGCAGGTATGCTATTTCTTGATCAGTTATAAAGAAATAGTAAATGGAACTACACTCTTCCCTTGGAATTTTCCAAAGAGCACAACAGCAGCTCAAATAAAGCATGGGACAGTTTAACCATTTGGCTGACACACTTATCCAAGCAGCAGCATCCTATGCTTAGAGTAGTTTGACTTAAAAGGTAAAAAGAGGGCCGGCCCGGTGGCGCACTCGGTAGAGGGCGGCACTTGGGAGCGCGGCGGCGCTCCCGCCGAGGGTTCGGATCCCATATAGAGACCGGTCTGCTCACTGCTTGAGTGCGGTGTGGGCACAACACCGAGGGTTGCGATCCCGTTACTGGTCACGATCCCGTTACCGGTCACGAAAAAAGACAAAAAGGAGAAAAAAAAAAAAAAAGGTAAAAAGAGACTTATAGAAAGAAAGATCGTTTAAGAGGGCCACAAGTCAACCATTTTGAGAAGTGAGGGTTGGCTCCTGCTTTTAAAAAATCAAACTATACAGAAACAGATAAAAGCAAATACTGAAATCCACCATAACTCACCATCTGCCCACCCAAACAAGACAAACTTTGGGAACAGTTTGGTATACATGCATCTAATTCCCCCCAAGGACACACTAATGTATTAACTTTAGTTATTCACAAATATGGCTATAAATTATAAGACAGTTTCAACGATGTCTTACCATTTGCATTTTCCACGTAATGTATCTAGGAAATCTTCCCAAGTTAACTTGCATAAACCTTGTTCTTTTTAACAGCTTCCACTGAATGGAAGGACCATAACTTACTCTACTGATGAACATTTGGGTGGTTTCCAAACTTTCACTACAAGCACTGCTGCACTGAATGAGGCATGTGTCACTGAAATGAGGGCACTGACTCATGAATGTCCCAAGAGACCAGCAGTTGTCTAAGAAAGCAGCATCAACTTATTTGTGATTCTAAATCAGTTCTCAAAGATATCCACAAAGGAAGAGCCCTTGGGAGCCTAGGGAGGCGCTCCAACCTTCACTCACTGGCGTTTAGGTCTGCCCAGATCTAAGTGTGTTATGCATCCATTTGCACTCTTTCTAAAATAACTAGGCTCTCACTTCCCCTCACACTTCTGCATCTCTCGTTACTTTCTCCACACAACACTGGAAAAGTGCAGATGGCCTGCTTCTAAACGCGTCCTGGCTCCAACTATTCCTTATGCCATCCTTCCCTTTTTCAAGTTGCTGGAAACAGTGTGCACCTTTTATTTTCTGGAAAAGCACCCAATGAATCTTGCTACTCCAGGTGTGATACACAGACCAGCAAGCTCTGCCCACCAGGGAACTTGTTAGAAATGTAGACTCTTAGGCCCCACCCTAGATGCACTGAATCAGAATCTTCATTTTGACAAGAGCCCCTGGGAAATTCATCTGCACATTAAAGAACAAATGATTTAGAGGAATGACTTCATGAATATATTGATTTAAATATGAGAGCCAAAGTGGCCAAGTGCTGAAAACCCTGTGACACAAGGAAAGGTCAAGGATACTTGGGCTTCTAGGCAGACAGAAGCTGGGAACTAAACAAAACAGTTTGCATGTGACATTCTGCTCAAACAATTTATGCAGGCTGCTGGAAAGTATGATTAAAACTTTCTCTGTAATTCCAAAGGTCAGAAGTAGAAATTCTGAGCAGAAATTATAGGGGAAAAGCTTTCAGCTCTCTGTAAGGAAGATAATCTTAGTAATTAGTATTCAGAGTAGAAAAGATTGGTTCATATGGGCTGGCCTGTGGCTCACTCAGAGAGCATGGTGCTGATAACACCTAGTCAAGGGTTAAGATCCCCTTACCGGTCATCATTTAAAAAAAAAAAAAAAAAAGATTGGTTCATAAAATAGAGATCTCCAAGACATCATAACTATTTAAGTACAGATGAGACAACTCAATGACAGAAATGCTCAAGAAGGGATTCTGGTACAGCAAGAGATATGGAACTATGGGAGCTTATGTCTTTCTTAATTTTAGGTCAACATTCTTTTTCTGGCTAAATTCCCAGAAATAGATGCTGGAACAGGTACCTGTCTTGGAAGGTTTGCGGCAGGATGTTGTGAAAAAGTCGTCCTCCTCCTCCTCATCATCATCGAAGAGACCACCTGGAGGGAGGGATGGGCTTTTCACTGGAGGGGGCTGCTCGAGTTTCTGGGGCTCCTTCAGTGATGGAGTGGTGGTGGTGCTAAACACATCAGTGTCCCCTGTGGATGGAGGGACAGGACAGCCACAGCTATGAGCTACCGTGGGCCTCTTGACTTCATGGAAAAAACAGCGCCACCCACCAAAAACTTTTATTTTTGGTTCATCCACAAAACACGATAACATTAACCCAATAACCTCCATCCGTTATAGAGTGTCTATAACGGTCTACAACTGCTATAGAGTGTCCCACAACGCAGAATCACCTGGTCACTCAAACACAAACAAGTCCAAGGCCACTGATTTCTAAGCGAATATGAGCTAAAATCAGTAAATGAACTATTACTAGAAGCAGTTCAATGCCCTCTGAAGTTCCCAGGTACTTCCTACTCTCCATCTTTAGAAGATGATAATTTTTAAAAAGCTAGTCTTTAGACGACAAAAAAGTATTTATATAGTTTTTAAAAACAAACCCTAAATTATGTTACCTAAAAATACAGAAACAGCTCCTGCTGGGATTTTCTTTCGAGGTTTGGAGGATGAAGACTCTAGAATGAGAAAGAAAGGGATAACCACTTCACAAAATAAATAGCTTTCCTTGTTAAACCCGCTTCCTGAAATATGTGCACCATAACCCACAGCTAATAGGAGACCGTTTAAAACTAATTTTGCCTAAATGAGCCATTTAAAATTCCTTAGTTATCTTCTTCTCTATTGACGTCATGACTTTTGTCTTGGGTGAACAAGACCTAAGCTGTGACTCCTGTGGACGATGGCCACAGACTTCGATCAAACATGCAGCGGGGCAAGGGAGGTGGGAGCCTGGCAGGAGGGGGGCAGGGCAGAGTGAGCAGGGCACCCAGAAACAGTTCCGACCACCAATCCAGCATAAGAACAAACAAGTGAAAAAGAGCAGCAAAAACTCCAACACACCAGTGAAAACATGAAGATGGTAAGACCACACAGGGAAACTAGGCAAGTCACCACCACCAAAAAGTGGAGAGTAGCAAGTGGGGACAGCCGAGTGAGCCGACATCGGGGAGCACAAGGGGAGGGGGCTTCACATCTGAGGACGTGTGGCCTGGGAGACTGAGTCGCTTAAAACAACTAATTCCCAACTCCCAAGAACTACCATAAACCTATTGGAATAAAACTGTAGGTTTTAAAAAAAAATTTTGTGCTTTTTAAAACTCCACAGATGATTTTAGTGCATACTGGGTCGGAGAATTACTGATCTTCATCTAATGTACAGAATGTTAGGAATGTTTCCTTAAATTAAAAATACCGTGGGGAGAAGGCAGGCCTTGGTTCCATCTCTGGCTTTTTCTGGTAGGAAGGCCTATCCATTTTGCCAGATGACCATGGGTGAGGTCTAAATGGGGAGAGGTAAAGATGGGGACAGTCTTGCCAGACGACTCTGTGAGGAGGGCAGGAGACAGCTCCAAAGCCCTTCCTTGGCTTCATTAGGCCAGGAGCTCCACTGTGCAGAGGGGCCACTAGAGTCTGTGAAGAGCTGGCTGGAAACTCAGGGAGGCAGAGGAGTTGGCTCAGCCTGGGCGTGTGCCCAGCTACAGCCTGAAGCTGCCTCTGCCACCAGTAAGAAGGCTGGAAGACCTGGCAGGGTGGGAGAGTTCCCAGGGGGGACTGAAGGCATGCAAGGAGTCCTGCTTCTTCTCCCCTGCCCTGACCTCCTTTTACCTCTCCAGACTTGGACAATCAAGGAGAAAAAGGGTATGATGTATCACTTGGGTCCCATTCTAGCCAGAATCACCAAAGTGGATTCTGAGGCCTCAGGCCTTAGACCTGGTGGGACTGGACACACCACTGAAGTCAAAGCCAGGCCAAGAGCCCAGGTGTCCCTCACCCCTACCAGACCTGGTGCCTTGATGCCCCCAACCCAGCTGGGACAGAATAGAGAAAGGTCTTGGCTTCCTCTCTTCTCACTTCCTTGGGCTCCTGAATTCATTTGCTCCTAAGTCTTGTTAACTCCTTTTCTCTTTTGGTGTTTTCTTGCCTTCCCTTTCTCTTATGTCTCCACCTCTCTTTCTCTGTGTCTTTCTTGCTGTCTGTGTTCCTCTTCCTTCTCTCATCCTCAATTTCTCTCTGTCCATTTGGGCCTCCTCCCCACCTCCCACGCTCCTATTCCCTCCCTCCTTGGTCTCCTTTTCAATATGCCAAACCAATTTTGGACCAAGCACATTTAATAAGAATAAAACAAAAGACTCATAATAAAAAGAACGTTTCTGAAAAAAACAAAAAGTTTGAAAAAAATTGTTGAGTCAAAAAGTCAAACAACAAAGAAATTAAGATTTCTTGGGGGAAAAAAAATTAAAAATACCCTCAACAATGCTATAAAGTACTTTTCCCATTTGGCTTTTAATGAATTCTCTCCTTAAAAAGAGGCATAAAATTGTGATGTGGGTTTACAGATGGCACTCTGTTTTTCTATAACATGAACTAGTGCAGATGAACTGCTTTTAACCAGACCAAGGCAAAAACAGCTTCCTGCTTAACAAAGACATGAGGCTTGGGAACAACTTCAGGGGTTCCTTCTGCTAATGGGAAAGAAACAATTTTGGAACTCTGTTCATGAAGAAGCAGGTTGGCCCAGATCCCAGCTTACCTTCACTAATAGAGGCTTGGGCTTGCCGATCCTGGCGGGCATCCCTGAAGAGGTCACTCTGGTTGGAAAAAGGTACAAAGAATTCAAAAAGATAGGGGACCCCTTACTGGTGAGCCCCCCCAAAATAGTAGGGGAAGATGTAGCTGCATTTGAGGATTTCTAAGGAAAAGTAGCCCTATAAAATTTAAAGCTCCATATTTACTGTTCTGCCAGAAAATAAGTTGCAGAAAGTAAAGACTATGGCAAAATCAGACCCTTAAATAATTTAGAGATTCAGAAAAAAATTCAGGATTTTTTTTGGCGGCTGGCCAATATGGATGTCCAGGAATTAAATTCAAAGATATAAGAGACAATAGATAAGGTAAGAATAATCTCACATCCTCTTCTCTACTGGTGAAGGACATCAGTATCCAGTGTTTCTCACTCTGTGATTCCAGGTTCAAAATGTCCAAAAATAAATAAATAAAAGTAGAAGCAGCTTCCAGTAGAGAGCCACTTTTCTCCCACTAAAGGACAAAAATGTCCTTTTCTCCCTGTGGGCCCATGACACACCTACAGAAGCTGTGACCAGTGACTCACCTCCTCGTCCTCATCATCAAAAAGTCCCTTCCCACCACTGAACAGGCCACCTCTAGAGCCAAACGGTGAGAAGTCTTCATCGGTCAGCTTAGGGGGTGCGAATAAGTTACCTTCATCATCTAGCAAACAGAAAGCAATGTTTTGCAGAGAGCGTTAAAGATGGGTTTGGAACCTGAGTTCCCAGGGTTAACCCCCACAACACACGCAAAACTGGCACGGAGTTTATTTAAGCATATTTAACAAGAAGTATTGAGGGGCAGTCTGATGAATGTCAAACAAAACCCCACTGAACCCCTCAAAAGGCTCTCTGGGCTCCCATCTCAAGTCTGGAACAGACAATGAATTCTTTAGGCAATCCCCCTTCATCTGATCTTACTTATTTCAAAGAAAGTATATGGTTCAATTGTCACATTCAAGACTCATCGCCCCAAGAATGCTGAACAAGGACATGTACACTAAACGAAGAGATCTGCGGATTGACACAGGGACGAGGGAAATGGAAAGGGCACTACTATCTAATATAAAGGGTCTGAGATTCTTTATTGAAAGAAATGCTACAGATCTGTAGTTTCTATACTTCTAGAGAATTCTACAAAGACCAGTAACGATCAATCTAAAATCTAAAAATTCAAATCTTTTCAGGACATTTTTACTCCACACCCATCTCTCTTCCCAGCACCTCAAAACACGCTTTTGGATGCTTTGAAAAAGTGAATGGAGAGAGACCCCACTAAGTAGCACTTTATGTAGAGCACGGTGTTGTAACACCACAGTCAAGGGTTCGGATCCCCATACTGGCCGGTCACCAAAAAAAGTAAAATAAAATAGCACTTTATGAATTATGTAAACAACATTCCCGAGCCAAAAGGCTCCTAAGGAAACAGAACTGAAGGACAAGGCTCACCATCTGAAGGAGTTCTTTCCTTCTCTTTCAAGGTTTTCCGTGTTTTTGCTTCTCCTGAGGATAAGGCTTGAAGAATATTTCAGTTTTAACAACACTTGGTCCACATTTAGTCTACAGATACTGGTTCTTTACATATCCGTTATCCTCATGCATCAGAAACCAAGAGCCATCCATTCAACTTGTATCCCAGCTCTACCAGAACACGTAACCCAGTGCCTTTCCGATAGTAAGCACTCAAGTGTCTCTTTGTAAAACAGACGGCTTCCGTTTACACCCCAAGGTTGTGTGCATTCTTGACTATATCAGGACTGAACTTGTTGAAAGAATTATTCTGATATCTTTCTACCCTGTTAAATAACTGGCGTATACTGTATAGTTTATTTTTATTTATTCAAGATATAAGAGTGAATATTGAGCCAGCGATTCTTATTCTGGTGCCCATGGTTCTCTGGGATACCCATTAATCACCTGGAATTGTATGTAAATTGTTATAATGACATGTACATGTGGATTTTTCCTGTGGGGTCTACAGAGTTCAGTTATCAAAAGGAGTCTATAAACCAAAAGAACAACGACAATTTAAGTCTCTTGTGCCTTAGAAATTAAAAAGGGAAATTGCCCTTTATGAAACCAGCAGAGGATCTGGCACCTCACTGACCGCCCCATTAACTTGTGTCTACGGCTCACCTGTCTGCTCCTCTTCAACTCGGCTCATGGCATCCCCTTTGATCCGAGCCACCAGCTCATCAGCAAACGACGTAGGTCTACTTCTTTTCTAGAGGCAAAAGAGACCAAAACAATCACTTTCAGGGCTGTTGGGTTAGCTCAGTTGATTAGAGTGCGGTGCTGATAATACAAGGTCAAGGGTTTGGATATCCTTACCAGCCAGCCTCCAAAAAAAAAGTCACTTCTTTTGTAACAAACTAGTGCAATTTGGGACACCTAATAAAATTATGCAAAGAAACTCAACTGACAGAAAATAGGGTTTAATTAAATGAATTTAAACATAAGCACCCTCTACAGATGACCCAAGTAACAAGACTCATAGAGCATTCCTTCAAAGGGTGATGCTCTTTATTTCTTATGTTTTTAACACTGCAATTTAATACTTGAAAATCTAGATTTAAAAACCTGGCATAAGGTGCTTGAGTGGAGAGGGAGGAGCAACAAGGTCTTAAAACTCTGGAACTGAATATATTCTGAATGATCTGACTGGGAAAATTGTAACATTTAAAGAAGAAAGTGGTACTTGTAAGGCAATTTGGGATACTTACCATTATTTTCAAAAGTGTAAACAAAATGACAGATATGGTGTAAAACGAGATAGCTACAAAAATACACGACAATAAAAGGAATGTGTCCTAGGTACCATTTCTAAAGCCTGGCCAAGTGATAGCAACTACAGTCCTTCTTACAGGTCTAACATGTTCTTCAACATTCTCAATGTCTTCTTCCTCCTTTTCAGAGTCAGCAAAAAGGTCACAGCCATCATCATCCTCTTCTTCATCACTCATGTGCACATTGTGCTAAGAGTACAGAACACCAAATTAGAATGATTAGACACAGTCATCAAGCTGAAAAGGAGACACTGTCACTGAGCCTTTAGGATCCTCCCTCAAAAGATAACAGCTTTTTAAAACAATGATGATGATGATGATGATGATGTAGCAGATTTTGAAGCGGTACATGTGCTGGAACAAATAGCACACAAGACTTACTTGGAATCTAAATAAATTATTTATTTATTTATTTATTTTTCCTTTTTGTCTTTTTTCGTGACCAGTAACAGGATCGCAACCCTCAGTGTCGCACCCGTACCGCGACCGGCAATGGGATCTCAACCCTCGGTGTCGCGCCCGCACCGCGCTCAACCAGTGAGCGGACCGGTCTCTATATGGGATCCGAACCCTCGGCGGGAGCGCTGCCGCACTCCCAAGCGCCGCACTCAACGGAATGCGCCACCGGGCCGGCCCAATAATTTATTTTTTAATAAGAACATAAAGGAAAGAATATAAGAGCAAAATACTAAGTATTACAAGACACACTCCCAGATCGTAATACCAGTTACCTCTGGAGATTATGCAGAGAAGATGAGGATTGAAGGGCTCAAACTTAGCCTTATCCACTAGTTTCTAACTTTTCTGAAGGTAGCCACTGATATGTATAACTTGAATAGTTAAAAAAAATTTTTAGTGTGCAAATTAATAAACTGTGCCAGACACCATGCTAAAAGTACTTAATTGTCTAATTTAGTCCTTACAACTCTGAGGCTCACTGTGGCACACAAAACCAGTCTATCTTTAACAATAAAAACAAATGAGTAAGCCAAGGCTTTTAATCACTATATTATACTATTTGAAAAACTGTCTGTATTTATGAATCTTATAGTAAATTCTATAGAAATAAATATCCTCTGAAGAAAAGATGATTATTAAAATTTTAGAGACAAACCACATTTATGAATGCAACCAAGATAACACAAATACCAATGAAAAAGTACAAAACCCTTCATGTTATAGTTGTAAATTTTTGAGAAAAAATATTTCCCAGTTAGGCAATTGAAATGCAAGTTGACATAATCTCAATATATCACTATAAATACATTACTGTAGCAAAAAAATTAGCTAAAATCATCACCCCAGCTGATTGTAGGAAAATCAATGTTAATGAGACTATAGGAAAATCAATATACTTGATCTGTAATTCAGAACACCCGTCAGACAGGAGTATCAAGAGCCATTAACATAACTCTACACCACCTTATTTCTAAGAAACTAACCGAAGTAAAGATTTCTATGTATGAAAATATTAAATATAGCAATATTTCAAAAATAAAACTCCAGAAATAAACTATTTCCCTTGTACATTTAGAGACTATGACATTATCATATATCAGCATGTTTAAAAATATAGTTTACAAAGCAAATTACAAAGACTATCTTAAATGACAAGGAAACACTATGACATGGTAACATAAAAAAGCAGAAAATAAAATGTGCATATTATGAAAAGAATATGCCCTTAGATAGATATACAAAGATTAAGGTGGCAGTACTATGATGGTAGGATTAGAAGATTTTCATCTTGTGAGCGTTCATCAACGTTACCGTCATCAATGTAAAACAGGGGAAGGGGATTCGTGTGAAATCGTTCAGTTCGGGTGACTTGGCCTTCTTTTAGAGGCTCTGTTTCCCAATTTTATTTTTTACATCTTTGTTTTCTAAGAAAAATGATGATAACTTTTAAAGTAAAATTGGAGAAAAATATACAAAGAAGGTAGTTAACCTAAATACATGACGTACTTAAAGGAAAATTAGTTATAAACATGAAAAAATCCTAACTTTGTCATAAATTATTTGAAAGTAATTTTACTATACTGTATATGTTATGCTTCAATTAAAATTGAAAATAAAATCACTTAAGCACATGAGCCTTACCCGGTTTTGATCATTGTCACTATGACTGGCAAAATCTTCATCTGACTCCTTTAGGGGAAAAGAAAGGTTTTGTTGTTAACACAAACTTTATTTACTTAGATGCACAGAAATGGTTTCAGGTCTACGTCTCTGGGACAAGTTGACTCTATGTCAAATTGAAGAAAAGCTCTGATACTCTGTCTCTTTGTACTGACTACTAGTCGTCTTAAGTACCAAGGTGCAGATATGGTAGATGGTGGCAATACTGCAAAGAGTTGTTCTGGTTAACTTGTAATTTTTGTGGTTTATTTAAACACTACTAACAATTTGTTCATATCTGAACTTTCAGCTTTAACCTTTGGATTTAAAGAGTTGCACATTTAATTAGGTAAATTATCAAAACTCAAAACTCAGTTTGTGTTACTTTACATTTTAGACTTGGCTCTGCATTCCATCGAGGTAGGATAACTATTTCATCAGGCCCAAGAAGGCAACATCAGTATTTGCTATCAGCAATTTGCTAAAGAGCTACATCAATAGCTAAAAACAAAGGATTCAGCTAATGACCATCTGTTATAGCAAGGTTACTTAAGAAGAGCTTATTTCCTACTGCTAAGTTTTTTGTATGGAGGGCTGGAGGAAGGAGGGCCAGGGAGGGGAGCTGCAGAAAGTGGGATGAATGAGAAAAGAGGGACACGCACACAAAACTGACTCCTTCTAAAAATCTTACACTCAAGGGCTATCCTTTATAGTGCCTCTGCCCTTTGCAACAACAAATATTCCATCTAAGGGAACAACTCCAGATACATCTGTGGTCGAGGCCCACAGACCCTGAAACCCTAGGCCAGGGGCAGATCATGGTCTGTGGGTATAAAAACGCTGGAGGTGGCAGAGCTAAAACATAAGTGTATGCACTAAGAAGCATCCTCTGCCCTAGAAGGATTTATAGTTAAAAATTTTAAATGTCTATTTTTTTCCCTAGAATTATTCAAAGTTAGCACAAACTCAAAGACTATAACTCAGGCAGAGA